CTTGTGTTAGTATTAGTCATCTTAATTATTTACATCCAGCAGGTGGCTGAATGCTTCAAGCTGAAGTGAACTCATACTTTTTTCTTTACAGGATCAGGACTGACTAGAATAACTGATGTCTGCCATCGCTCTCACAGGTAACACTGATAAACTCACTTATTTTTCTGTCTGCCTGCAATATGCATGTAACTTTATGAGCGTAGTGAAAATAATGCTGATAGAGCATCCGGGAAGTCTGATATACAGATTATCATATCAGTCTAGCGTGGGTACACTGCACAGATGTCACTGACTGCATAAGCAACAGATCAGGGGGACACTGTTGAATATCTCAAGGCCTTGAATGTAAAGCTGGAGGTCTTTCACTGCATTAGAGGGGGGGTTATGTAGCACACAGCCAGATCTAAAGCAATCCCTCAGCTTTCCATAGACTCTATTAGAGCATCCCCCTCAGGTCACACAAGCTGAAGTCTTTTCGTTAGGATTACAAAGGAAAGACCATGACTAAACCAAAAATCTAATTCAGAATACTGAAAAGATTTGTGCCAGCCGTAGCAGCCTCCTTATTCTGAGATTCAAAGGCTACTGTGGTGAGAAACAAAGTAAAAATACTGTATGTATCTGCTATCTGTTAAATACTTTATGTGTGTGCATATATGTATGTAGGTATGTATGTAAATGTATGTGTATGTATACATATATATATGTGATTGATTTTGAGTCTGCTTATTCAAATCTCAAAATCTTGACAGAAAAATAGAAAGAAATCTGAGATTAATCTCTTATTGGCAAAAAAAAGCAAAATTCCAAATGCAGAACTTGCAGCTACTTCAACAATACGAGCCCAATTCTGTTACTGATATATCAGTGTTGAAGCAGCTGTTTCTCTGAGCCCTTTGCCATGGCACAGAAATGATGTTTTCTCTTCCACTGCATGGTTGATGCAGACGGCTGATTTTGTCACTTGTCATAGTCAAAAAATGTTTTGCTTGTTTTTTTTTTTCCTGCTAACACTGCACATACATGCATTAATAGTTGCTCAATTATTCAATGCTGTCAGTCTTTAACTGATGTAATGGAACGTCAGCCACCCCTGCACAGTGAGATGTCTAGACTGAATCAGATCACTGTCATAATCAAAGCTGGGGTTTACCCATCAAATATGTCATGAGGATGTCATCGCCATGGGCCATGTCATTTCTTGCCAAGCAGAGCCCCCCACACACACACATACACAGTGTCTGTGGATGCAAAGCACACTGCTGCTGTTCACATTAGGAGGAAAGGCCTCCAGGGCATGACAGTTAGGAAGAAGATGCATTGAGCAAAAGGCCTAATGGTTGCACTGTTTCAGGTTAGATCTATAAAAAATGTATGCATTATATATAGCCTGAAGACCTGAGCTCCACAGCCCTATTAATCCACAAAAACAATTGTGGAAAATAGCTCACGCACCTTTTTGGTATTATAGTTTTTTATAGTTATTACAGTTTTGGGGGTATGTGTCCAATAAAAAATATTTCAAATTAGCCACTGAAAAACTATTCTGAGTCACAGAGATATTTGAGTTAAACTGTTTTCCCTTTTAAGACATGCTTTGGCCAGTTCATTAATGACACTATTGATTAAGCTTTGCTCTCTTTATATGAGCTAGGAAGCAACATAGATTTCTTCCTGGGCTGTGGAAACAATTGAAGCAGTAGTCAGAACCTGTTCAGATCTAAATCTAGACACATGTTAGATGATGGTGTTGGGGGCAGCACCTCATTACGCAGATGCTGTTCAGCAGCTGGGTTTCAATCACCTGAGGCTTAGAGGCCAGGCAGCCCCAGCAGCCAATTGGTTTGTTTACATTTCCGCTCCGAAGCAGCCTCAATCATTTACTTCTACCTGGAACATCAAACGCAGACTTTCAAAGAACTAGACGCGGCCTCTCCATTTCTGCGTTCTGAGTTTGGCACTAATGAAGAAGACAAAGAGACAGAGGCTGTAAAATGACGCTCTTTTTTTTAATGATCAAGGCTCCTGATGTTGGCAGTAAAAAGCACTCAGAGTGTGGTGTCGGTCTTGTGAGGGACCTGCTTGACTGTATTTGTGAGAGAATTTCAAAAGGCAGTAAGGCTGGGAGGCTGGGAAAAAGAGCAGTATTTTAGTTCAGATACGCAATTCAATCCCTGTGATTTTATGCACCTTATGTCTCTCAAAGCTTTAAGTAAACAGTAGGGATGGGTTTGAATACACAGAGGCAGTTTGTAGGACCATAGGCAGTGGCTCTTGTGTACTCTTTTACTTCACTCAGCCTCTGTGTCTCTATAAAAGGCTCTCTCTACTGCTTGCTGCGCTGACAGGCGAGGCAAAGTCTCGCAGGAAGCAGGAGATCAGATAGGAAGAGTGTGAGGCGGTGAATAGCAAACCTTTGATCGCTGATTCACATTTCAAACAATCATGGAATGGAAATAAAAGCCCTGTTTGATTTTTGGCCCAAACAGGTCCCACCAGAACTGGTGGGAAGATGATTATAGCTCACCAGGGCCCATATGACTGTGTTTGTGGAGGATTACATGAATATATGAAGTGCCTGTGGTGTTGTTTTTCATGCTAGCTTTGATACAGACAAACCGCCATCTGAACCCATGCTGATTTTACACAGTGCCATCATCCTACTACACCTTTCATGCGGCATGTTTTCCATTTTTTCAGATTAGGGACCTCATTCCATCACTTCACCTGCAGCTGCTGCACCTGTGGATATATGAGATGCTAGCCTGATATTCCTTTCCAAAATGAATCCTAAAGAGGTGGCAAGATGATTTTTTCCCTCCTGCCAAATAGAGCCGCATATTACACTCAGCCATGTTGTGTTAGAGGGAGCTGACAGCTTTTCCCTGAACCAAATAGAACCACATCCATCACTTTGCCCTGTTTCCCAACACTTTTTTTATATGTCTCTCCCAGTGACACTGGGGCTTTGTAATGGAATGCTCAGTAATTTTCCGTCTCCACAAAGCCAAGTGTGCCATTGTGCAGTGGTGGTGTTGAGAGAGGAGAGCAGAGAGAGAGGCAGATGACCCTGCTCCCCTCAGACTCCATGTCATTACCGCTGACCAGTCGTCCCTTTCTATCTGCTCGCAATCTGCAGCCCTCCTTGAGTGGCAGCATGGCAGCCGAGCAGCCGGGGAAACCGATGCTATTTCAAGGCCAGCCACAGTGATAATGTCACTCTACTTCAAAGAGTAAAGCCGTCCTGCTTCCCTGGAGATTTCCCTCACAGATGAAATGATCAGATCAGGCCTGACAAGGAGCCATGCAATTACTGCTCAACAAAAAAAAAGTGCATTAGATTTTTTTTTTCTGCTATTTGATTGATTGGTAATCATTAATGTAAATTTGAAACTAAAATAACATTTGATGATATGTCAAACATCGCTGACATTTTTCCCATAGTAGATCCTCAGAGTGACTACAAATTACGAAGACCCATTATAGGCCAGTTTTTCAAAAACGGACAAAGCCTAGTCAGACCAGACCAGAACTGATTTTTCAAAGAATTCAGAACTAGACATTCACATCCATTATGGCAGCTGTGCACATTTGGACCTCAATATCATTTTTTTGATGTTATTTCAATTATGTCATAATCATTTTTCCCATAAAAATATCATCAATGCCATGTCCCAGCATATTTGATGGCGCCCCAAAAGGTAAAATCACTAAACATTACTGGCAAAATAACAATCACTTTTTCCAACCCAAAATTGTATTTTATTTATGTAAATAAAATTCCTTCCTCTAGGCATCTAAAGGATGTGATTGAAAAGCTGTCAAGCAAATGTTTCAATGTTGAATGTGACTGCTTCCTTTTCTTCCTACTGTTTTGTTTGCCAACTGATATCTTTCATTCTACTGTACCTCTCTCTCTCTCTCTCTCTGCCTCCCCCTTTTTGCCAGGTACATACAAAGAGCATCATTATGAAAGCCAGGGAATTCTCTCTCTCTCTGGTGTGTCCCTGTTTCAGCTGCTGTGTCTTATGGCTTTTTATTCCTATGTGATAATGAATGGGACTCACGTAGGGATACAAGCCACTAAACACACGGTGAACTTTCGCCTGCAAATGACAGTCAATTTGAGGAGCTAGTTAAGGTTGATCTATTAATTTTCACTCACCAAGTATCCTATTTTCCAAATATTTGTCAAAAATCTTGGAGACTCATCAATAAATCTGAAACTTTTTTAAAAATGTATGTACAATATATGTAAATCCCATTATTTGTGTTTTGGGAAATTACTGTAACATTATTTACCAGATGATTATAGCTGTTGGTTTAGAGCAAGAAAGGAAAGTGTGCTCTACAAAATGCAGTGAATCAGAAGCGAGTCATAAACCGACTCAATAGGTATACAATTAACAGTCTGCTTTTTAAAAGGATGACAAATATGACTTGTATTCTTTAGCAAAAATTTAACAAAAATATTTGATTAAAAATTTAAAGTAGCACTGTCATATCAATACTTATGTGATACAAGTTAAATGAAGAACAATGTTTCAGTTGCTAAGCACCAAAGTTCAGTGCAATATTATTTTTTCTAATGTAGTGGAACATTTGGAAGGATATCTGCCCCGGTACTGTGGAAGAGCTTCCATGGGGAAGTTGCCCTGGGTTGCTCTAATGACAAACATTGCTGTGATCAGTGGATTATCAGGCAGAGTGCAGAGTGATATTATCATAGATGCAAACATTGAATATATGTGTTCATCTTTTTAAAAAAAATAATTTGGAGCACATACTGTGTTACATTCCACATGTTTCAATAAAAAGCAAACTGCAAATTCAAACAGCAAAACGTCTGGATGGATCTGTGTGTGAAGAGGGGATTTCATGGTTGATTGCTAATGTAGCCCATCTTAATTAAAACTGATAAGCAATTAATCAAATGTTTTGTCAATCAGTCATAACAACAGAGTGCAACTCACTTTCCACCAGAGAAGACAAAGAAACAAAGGAAGACAATGAAGATTTTTAATAACCTTTATATGAGGCACTTTATGAACCACTTATGAGCCTACAATAGGCTAAGCAATTCCCTTTCCTTATTCTCTTCATCTGTTGCACATTATTAAAATAGAACTTTGACATTATGCATTGCACCAAAGATAATCTACCTACAATATAATACAATATAAGATACATATAAACAAGATAAAGCACCTTTTTTGTTCTAGTAAATAATAGTAATAATAAAACAATTGGAGGACATCTAGATAACCGAGTGTGGATTTGGTGTGTGGTAACATCAGTGCATGGGAGGAATTCCTAATAAGGGGTTCATGCGCAAGAATTGTCCTTGTTAGCACCTGAGTTCATAGGACAGATGAAATCGAACTGAATTTAGTCTTGGAAAAAAAAGGCTTTCCTAATGCCCTCTTCTGAGAAGACCAAATGGACACTTGGACAAATGAACCCTTTTCATGGTGGAGTTTACACAGTATTTTTCCTCATTTCCTCAGAAATTATTGAGTACCAGCAAGAATGATTTTATGAATGTAACCGCTACATGTTCCCTTCAGTTAGAGGACATTTGTGTTCACATTACAATAAAATAAAATAGCACCAATTAATGTTTATACAAAAGCTAATACATTGAATGTCACTGCAATACAGTAAGGTAAAAGAATATGAAAGAGTAATTCTCAGAAGCGTATAAAATAGGCACATAGACATCCACAATCGGAATGTCATTTGGTCCTGTTGCTCAAAGAAACAAAACTATTTATGAACACATGTTGAATGTAAAAGTGTCATGCATAATTTGAAAAAAAAAATCTCAGCTATCTTTCAAGTAACCTTTTTTTTCCAAACCTTTTCTTTTTTCATGAAATACAGTCTCTATAACATGACTTCAAAATAGAGAAAATAAAGTTATTTGTATAAAGGTTGCTGGCCACCAGCAATTTCATTTCATATTTATAAACTTGTCTTTATCACTGGTCCTCACATTAATGTGAAAACATTTACAAGAAGATACAAAGTAATAAAGTGACTTATTAAGAAGTGAAACCATTTCACAGAGGAGGGTCATACAATCTCAGTCTTGTTTAAAAATCATCTTGATCATTTGACTAGTGGAAAACTCTGTTCCCCCCTCTTTAGTAGCATCCATTTCATTCTCAGTTAATGGATTCAGAAGTGTCTTTCCTTAATGGAATCTTAAAACCAGTGAGTCTTTGGCCAAATAGCTGGCTAAGAAGGTTGTTCTGTGACTCTGCAGTACGATACGAATGAGTCTCCACAGACTTAACCCCTGGCTTGGGCCGGGATTTATTAAATGAATTGTTCAAGGAGGCTACTGACACCTTGGAAGTGGGAGAATGGATGGGTCTCCCAGGCACACCCTTTTTCCCTCTGCAATCCCCATTCAAATGACGGACGAGTTCTCCTTTCTTTGGTGGAAAACTGTCAAGAGGGCCTCTTTTTGGTTGTAGGCCCAGAGTTCCTATTTTGTGCTTGGTGACTATTTTGTTACTGACTGCGTCATCTTTTACTGATGTGAGCACAGGATAGTTACCACAGACATCAGCTTTCCATTGACCAGATACACTCTCACATTTGTTTGGTCGAAACTTCTTTTTGACCTTTGGGTCAATGCCAAGATTCTCCCGCGTAGCAGGGGATGCTGTCCGCTGAGAGCTTTGTGTCGTCTTCAGATCTTTCCTTTTTTTCTGTTTTATGGAGTCCTTGTCTTCAACCATAATGGAGCTGAGAGGAATCTTGGCATGATTTACACCTGCACTGTCACTGGTTCCAAGGTTTCCTGACCTGGGACTGTTGTCAAGACATTGTTTAATGTTTTCAGATGGCTTATAAGAAATTTTGTCCTTAACCAGGTCGCAGGTGGGTTGTTCTACATCGTTTGTGTCTTTCTCACTTCCGTTTCTGTCAAGGGACGAATGCTCGTTTATCTGGTCCTGCTTCTGCTGGTCCATCTGATTGGACAGTGATGGCTGTTTGAGAAGTTCAAGATGGTCGTCCTCATTAGGCAAGGGACCTTCTATCTTCTGGCTTTTCAGGCTTTTATTTGTTTGATCAGAATTTTGCAAGTTGCACAGATCTGAATCTTCAACCTCCATCATCTCATCTGCATTTTCAAGACCTGAGCATTCTTTCACGCTGATCTCCTCAACACTAGTCTCATTTGAAATTGGCATTGGTAATGTGGTCTGAATCGCTCCACATTCCTCCTCAATTTTGACATTACAGGTCTCAGCCAGAGAGCTCCTGTTGTCTGTACCAACTTCTCTGGTGTCTATGCCTTGGAGTTCATGTGTATGAGTGTCTACATTATCTTCCTCCTTGGGCATAGATGTTGTGGAAATGGTGTGCTCATTAGAATCCATTTGGGGATGACATGGCCCCAGCTCTTCCAGAGCCTCAGAAACATCCTCTGGCTCATCCTCAATTTTCACACTTGTATTATTTGTCTCAGTGGACTGTTTGTCAGTGCTGTTGTGTGGAAGGTCTTCCACAATTGGTTTCAGACCCTGTGTGTCAGTAGACTGGTTTAAATGTATAGATCCAATGCTGGCAATGCCACTGTCCAAGCTATTGTCTTGTGAACTCTCACTAAGCAACTTCCTTCTCTTGTTTGGTGGGATATCAAATTCGTCATCCTTTGATTTGAGGGGCTTGCAAGGTCTTCCAACCCCCCTAAACTTAAAGATCTTGTTCCCTCCAGCCAGATGTTTCTCCATATGACGGTCAAACTGTTCTTTCTTAGAGAAGGTGTAGTTGCAGGTACTGCAGATGAAAGACTTCTTAATTACATGCATAACATCAGCACATAGCTCACAGGTATACAGTGTGGTGTGCTTTGAATCAAGTTCATCCACTTCTTCATGCTCATTTTTCAGATGATCTCGTAGCTCTTTAGCTTCCTGATACGACACCGGACATTTGTGGCACATGAAAATCTTCTGCAAGCTGTGAACCACCAGATGGCGTTGGAGCTTAAATGGTTTTGGAAACTGCTTGCCACAGTGATGACAGTCTCTTGAGGGATCTTTGCAATTGGGATGCATTTCAACATTTTTTGATGTAGTCTCTGCTTTGTGTAGGACTTCAAGTGGTGTTAGTGTGCTATGTTTGCTCCCTCCCCCTGTGCTTAGTTTAGTCTTTACAGTTGGAGACTCGCATACATCGGAGGACTTTTGCTCTACACCAGGGACATCTACAGAAGCCTTTCTCTCTTCCTTGGATGATTTGCCATTCTCTCCTTTCACAGACTTGTTAGACCGATGCTGCATTATTGAAGAGATAAAGTTTTTGACAGCATTCTCCTGCATTAAGCAGCCTGGCATGTCCAGCAGAGAACTTTGAGACTGACCCTTTCGAGCGAACTGTGTGGCATGTTCACGGAGATGCTCATTGTACATCCAGACATCTGAGATCTCCTTTAAGCACATGCCACAAGTCCAGACACCTGCTTTATTCTTGGCATGCTTCTCTCTTAGATGGTCTCGAAGCTGTTCACGTGAGCTAAATTTGCGCTGGACACACATATAACAAGTGGGAGGAGGTGAAGGATTGTGAGAAAGCTTGTGGAAGTCTAGCTCACCCAAGGTGAGAAACCATGTGAAACACACTTTGCATTTGTATTGTTTATCCTTGGGCTTCAGCCCAGTTTCAATGCGTTTCCTACCCTTGCGTTCTATGGGTTTCTTGGGAGATTTTTCAGGCTCTTTGATCTCAATATTGTTGCTTGCAATATCCTCAACCAAAGAAATGTCCCTTCCAGGCTCAAAGAACTGGATTTCAGGGAGCTGGAATGTAGTGTTAAGATTCTGAATGTCAATGCTTGGATGGCGAATGACATTATCTTGCATGCAGACTAATTCCAGAGGGGTAGGCCTTGTGGGAATCTCAGCTTTACAATCTCCCTGTGTACCTGAAGACCCTGCTTTCTCTGTACATGAGTCTTCAGATCCATCTAAATGCACTGAAGTTTTCCTAAATGTGCCTTCTGTCTGGCATAAAAAGTCCTAATGCTAACCTCTGGAGTGTCTTCGTAGTCTGCTTGATGATCTGTTAAGGCATCTATTGGGACACTATTCTCAGCAGAACTTTTGAGTGTGCTCTTATGGCACATCTCAAGCATCTTAGCATCATCAAGTGATATTGTTTCATATTCACAATGCTCATTCAGATTACTGACAAACATGTTGTCTGTTTTGTCCTTATTCTCCTCATTCTTATCAAGAAACATGGTGGGGCCAGTAAATTCTGAGATTAAACTGGGCATTTGTTTCAGCTTTTTGTTACTTTTCCCATAAACACGTGCACACTTTTTCCTTTTCCTGTCATCATTCCTTGGGAATAATTGGGAGAATGTGCTTTCATCATCAAAGAGAGCTTTGAGATCAGGACCCAGCCCACCAGGACTTAATGAATGATCTTTATAACCCTCAGAGTGGGCATCATTTTCATCTGTGGTTGACTCACATTTAATAGCAACTACAGGATCTTCACATGGATCACAGATTTCTTTCACATCAAGAAGTCCCTTGGTATCTGCATATTCCTTACAAATGGCAGGATTCGTCTGCCCATTGTTTTCTACTGTCTCTTGCATTGTGCAACTTTCTGCCTTTGCTGTTGTGTCTTCTTCTTCAGCTCCATTGTTGTACAGTTCAGGGTGCTTGGTGAACATGGTTGCAATCTCTTGCTCATCACCACAAGCACTTTCCATACCCTGATGCTCTTCTGTTCCTTTGACCTCTTCACAACTGGAACTGTTAGTTGTGCTTTGTTTTTCAGGTGACCTGTGGCACTCTGGTTGTGCCATTGTGGGGAAATCTGGAGAAATAGCCTGTAGGATGTCAGTTTTAAGTATACTGAGTAACTCATCTGAGAAAGTGTCTCGCTTCATCAGTTCAGGAGTTAATCCTCCACTGTTGATATCCATGCTCTTGCTCTTTTTCACTTTGCTATTTTTCTTTGCTTTCTCAGTTACTGGAGGCTCATCATCCTTGTCCTTACTGTTTATATTTTTTGAAACATTTGATTCATTTGCTGTGCCTTCAAAAACTGCAGGCAAAAGTACTTGATCTCCATGTCTTATAGGCACACCATCTCTGTCTGGGTGCAGCAAGACTACTGGATCAAGGATCCCAAAGCTGTTTTTCAGCTCCTTGTCCACTGACTGTGGCACTTGGTAAACAGGCACAAACCCTTGGTTGCTCAAGGTTGGGTTTTGAACTGTGATGCCTTCAGCTTTCACTGTGTGCTTCATGGCTTTGTGTCTCTTAAGTCCAGGTACAGTGCGGAAGAACATGAAACATATTTCACATTGAAATTTGCCTTGAACTGCATTGTGTGCACCACCTTTTTTGGGTGAGGATTTTATGTCTGACTGCTTAGTGCATTGTCCCGTCATTGGAGTAGGCACATTTGGGAGACTTACAGAGACTGTTGGTAGTTGTTCTTTAGAATTGACTGTTTCCTGAATACTGGGCATACTGGGCATCTGAGGCAGGGTGTCAGTCTTAAAAGGGTTTATTTGACTGTCTGCATTTTCAGCATCTGCCTTCTTCAGCAGGTTAATGTGCAAGTCCATGTAATCAATAGTTTCAAGGGGTACAGGACAAGTGTTCAAATCACCTTGGGGAATTTTTGAGAGCTGTTCTGTATTATCTCCTTGGAGATGGTGAGTAGGTGAAATATAAGAGTACTTTTCATTTTGGCTAGTTGTGTCATGAAAATGTGGTATGTTGAGTTTGACCAAATGATCTTGAGTTGTTAATTCAAGCTCATTTTGAACATGTATTGGACTGAGACGGCAATTTGAAGACAACTGTGTATTGAGAGTCAGTCCACAACTGCTAAAGTCAAGGCTGTCTTTTGGGCTTGTCTTTATGTTGGGTTGAACGTCTGTTTCGTTATTTATAGTTTTAGAACTACAGTCACTAAAATGTCTTTCACTGTAATTCAGTGGGCTTAGTTTAAACTCATACAGTGTGTCTTTATTTTGGGTAACTTCCAATACTTCAGACTTCTCACTTGCTTCACTGAAAGCTTGTTTGGAGATGCTGTCCACAGCCAAAATTGTTCCTGAGCTAGAGATTTTGCTTTCTGTGGTTCCTGCAAAATCCAGATTGGGAGCAAAAGAGTTATTAATCTCTGTTGTTGTGGCTGATGACTCACAATAATCCAATGGCCTGCCAACATCTACGTTTTCAGCACTTTCTCTTTTGAGGCTTGTTCTGTCTTCCATTAAAACAGGAGTAATCATGCCAATATCAGTCCAACAAACTGTTAATGGACTCTTGTGTACATGCACAGTAGCACTCTTTGAGGAAATGTGTAGAGGAGCCAGTGGTGATGGACTTATTGGTGGCAAAAGTTCTGCTTTAGAGTCCTCATCCATACGCTGTACATGCTCTCCACAAGATGGATGTTTAGGAGAAGAAGTCACATATGAAGTGGGTTCACAGCATTGATCATTGGTCTCCATTTGTGGTTGCTCATGAGGAATCACTTTGTCTCTGTCACTTTCCTGGGTCTCATGTAAGTGAACATCCCTACTGTAGGGAGATTCAATACCGTCAAGTACTTGACAATTCTCTAGGTCTAGGTTGGTTTTTGCTGCCTCTATTTTGTCAGTTTCATTCTCACAGTCTTGAATGTTATGCTTTGGTGAGGCAGAGTCAAGCATTTCCTTATCATCTTCTGTAGCATTACATTCTAGGAAAATCTTTTCTTCTTGGCTGCTGTCTTGATTAAGACACACAGTGCTGTCCTCTTTCAGTTCATCTGAGAGTGTTTGAGGAACATTTGGATTGTTGGGAAGACTCTTTGAATTGAGGTCTTCGCTAACTTGTGATTCAGGACTAACTCCCCCTGTCGCTACATGGCTGACAGATTGTTCACAGCTCTTGTGTTCAAATATAACTGGTGATTTTGATAGGTTGATTGTGTTTGATGACTCTTCACAATCTTTGGCTGAAGCACTTTCACAAGTTCTCTTATCAGATTGTAGCTCTTTCAAATGTGTACTTTCAACTTGCAGAAAGAGATCACTGTCCTCAGCAACACTGATGCTTTCCTCTGTGACTAAGGTGTCATCTAACTTTGACTCACAAATGTCATGCATTATAAGATTGTGAGGATGTTCCATGAGTTTTTTGTTGAGATCTAATGAGCAGTTTCTAGCATCCACTCTTGCAGTCTCATTTGAGGGTTCTATCTTCTCATCATCTATTTCTTGCTCTTTAGCAGCACTGCAATCTTTTTCATGAATAGGTGAACGAGAAGATTCCAGGCCTGAAGACAAAGAATCTGACATCACTTCTAGGCTTTTCATGAGGTTTTCTGTGTATATTTCATGCTCAATCATTTCTTCTGATTTGTCTGTAGTTGTGCCCTGAGAATCTTCGCTCTCAGTTTTCTCTTCATTGTTTAGTGCTGGTTGTTTCTCTGTGGATACATCTTTTAGGTCTGTGCCATCCCTTGAATCTAATTTCTCTTGGTCTAAATTAATTGGAGTATCTGCCACAGTGGAGTGCGTTGGTGTGTGAAGACACTGCTGTCCACCCATTAACCCAAACTGGACTGGACTGGACCACGGCAGGTCAGGTTCAGAGAAAAGCTCTGGATGAGAGTCTGGTGGTGCAGCAAGGGCTAAGCTTTCTGATGAGCAAACCACATCCAAGCTACTCTGTTCACTTTCACTTTCATGACCTAGCCTCAATGGTGAAAATTTACTCATGGTTAGATGTTTTGGTGTCTCATTGTCAAGTGGAGAGGGCTTAGCTGTCTGGAGCTGGCTCTCAAGCTCTGTCACAATTCTCTTTATCTCAAGCTCATCTTCAGAGACACAGCTGTTGAGATTTGGATGGTAGTCCATTATTTTCTCTGGCAGTGCGAAAGGGATTTGGTTAAAACTGGTCTTTTTATCATTTGTTATATCTGAATCCTCTTTGTACTGTGAAATCTCATCTGGTAGCTCAGGAGTCACATCTTCTATCAGGCTCCAGTCTCTCTGCTCTAACAGTGGAGAAAAGGATGACTCAAAGAGCTCTTTCTTGTCTGCTGTGGTCTCTATAGGTCCAAAACCCTCTTTGGTTAGCTGAATATCTGGATAAAGGTTGTTGTCAAATCCACCTACTGTGAGGTCACCAAACATTGATGATGTGTCAAATGAAAGGGGTGACTTCATAAGACTCTGCTCATGTTCTAAAGAATAAGGCATAAGACAGTTTCTGTCCTTCTGTGGGGATGCATCATGAAGTTTAGCAGGAGATCCACAAACATCGTCCATGAGTGAACTGCAAAGTGATGGTGGTTCAGAGAATAAGGCACTTGAACCAGTCTTTGTTTCTTTGACTGAGGAAATATTACTGGTGCTGTCAAGGGTAGCTGATGAAGAGTCTGAATCTTGATGAGTCTTCTGGCTCTCTCTCTTCTTGGGTGATTTTTCTTTTGAAAACTCATTGTTATCTCTTTTGATTTTACAGAGTTGGTTTGTCTCCTTGTCGTTTTTGGTCTTCAATGGGTTCAGTGTTACACCAGGTCTTCTGAGGTGCGTGCTAGCTTTTATGTAATCTTTATATTCCTTTCTGAGTGGTGTGGGCTCTTCTGTGCCTGCAGTAACGCCTATTTCACAGCCGTAGTGGTCCATTTGTTCCTCTACCTCTACTCTGGTGGTTTTGAACCTGGAAAGGCTAACAGTACTTTTAGTCAGGGTATGTTCTGATGCAGTCTCTTCTGATGTGCTGATGACATTTGAACACTTTGAAGTAGTGTAGCTGTCTTTGAGTTCTGAGAGTAGAATCTTGTCAGTGCTGTAATGTTTTGTGTTTTTGGTGAAGGTCAAAGCTAATGATGTGCTGGACTCTTTTAGTATCCTTTGTGGAGATATCTCCTGCTCACAGGAGTCCTGGTCTTTTTTTCTTATCTCCATTCTTTTCTCACAGTCTGAATCTGTGCGATCAATGCTTTTAGGGCTGCCGATGCTCTCACTGGAGATGCTCACAGATGTGCTGATTTCACTACTGGTGGAGGATCTGCTGCTTCGTCTTCGCACTCTCTGGTGACCAGAGGTTTCTTTTATTGAAGATGGAGAGACAGCCTCAGATTTCTTGGATTCAAAGCTCTCTATCTTGTCCTGCTTCCATTGACTTTCCCTGTTCCTATCCGCTCTTATCCTCCCCTTACATTCTTTTGTGTATGTGTATTTGCAACGGATGCTCTGGCTAAGACATCCCTGGCTGGCTATTTTCACTGGCTCACAGTCCTCGTCTGAATCAGACACATAATCATACTCCCTGAATGTAGGGTTCTGTACTGTGGGTGTCACCCTCTCCATCACCAGTGAAAACTGCATGTTCTTAGTGCCTTTCACATGGAGCTTGTGCAGCTTGTTTTTCTGCTGGACTATTTTGTGAATGAGCTCCTTACTCCAACTCCCTCCACTGGCCCTTTTCCTTTTCCCATCTCTCATCGCTGGCCTCTGAGATGTTGGACTCCTAGTGGCTGAAGGAGATTGAGGAATAGTTGTTTTAACTATTGGGGTGCTGCCTTGCAAACTTTTGAGTCCACATCTTTCTGAAAATTTTCTGGATAGGAGAAATCTGGGACCATGCTCACTTTCTTCTGCTATCTTGTCTGACTTGCGTGTTTCTTTAACCCATTCTGAATGTGTGACAGACTCATCTGAGGTGCATTCTCTCTTCATAAGAGAGGTTTCCTCTTTGGTGCTTTTCTCATGTGCCTCTGAATCCAGATTATTTTCTTTGTGGATAACGTCAGCATGTTTGCTGTCGGAAGTGAGGCAGTCTAAGTCTGAGTCAAATGAATACTTCCCCTGTGTTAATGATTTCTCACTGGATGTAAATTCATGCTTACTTCTGCTTTCAAACACTATGGAGTCTTTGGTTTTTAGAGTCTGTCTATTAGAAGAACATTTTGTAGTGGTGATCTCATCATCAACAAATGCATCAATGAAGCTACTATCAATCTCTGCATTGTCTGACTGATAACCCAGACCATTCAAGGCTTCTGTGATGAGGCTGTCTAACTTGGCATCTTCCATCTCCAAATCAGGGAGTGGTGCAGATGGTAGCATGAGTTTCATAGGATCTTCTTTCGCATCTACCTTGGGTTCACTGTCTGACATTATCTCTCCATTCTTGTTAAGTCCTAGCAGGGACAGATGCAAATCAGATGAACTTCTTGACATGGCAAAACTGGTACCAGATGTAATTGCTTTTGCATGGTCTGTATGAAATTTTCTTGTGTCTTCCACTTTGCGAACATCTTTGAAGTCATTTTGTGCAAATGTATGCTGTCCACAGTATTGTTTATGATCAAGAAATGAAGTCAGGTTATTAAAATTTTGATCACACTGTTTGCATGTGAGAAGCACGTCCAGTTGGTCAAGATTTGCTGTGGCTAATGAACTGGCTAGTAGTTGGTGAGCTGAATATGGAGGAGGGGGATGGTGCTCCATACCATAACTGTCCATACAAACTTTCCCACTTTCCATGTTAGGCTTTGGATGTCTGATATTTGATGAAAAGCTCAAAATATTCTCTTTGGCTCTTTCTTGGTTGTAGTGCAGAGTGCGGGAGACCTCAGAATGGAAGTGATGCTGATTAGAGTTCAAGCTGTCAGAGGATGCCTTACTCTGGTGCTGGTGATAAAACTGAGGCGGAGGGACCTTTGAGTTTTGGCTGTCATCAGAGCCACTGTTGACGGGACTAGTAGATTCTGGTGAAAGGGAAGAACATGTGCTGCTAGATGCTGGATTCTGAATGGGTGAATGTGAAGGTGAATCATATGGAGACACCATCATCAGTCCCATGGTTGGGACCTGTAATGGGGGGTAGCTGGGGTTCCTTGATGCTGACCCATGAACTGGTTGGTTTATGCCAAAATATAATGACTTATTTTTGGCATCAGTAACCTGGCCTTGGCTTGATTCCATTTTATTTGTAAACTGACATGGTGCTATTGTACTACAGCCCTGTTTGACACTGTCCGGCCTTAGGTTTGAGAAAGGCTCACTGGGCCTTTTGCTGGGAAAATTGTTGGAGCTTTTCTGACTGTTACTTTTTTGAGACTTACTATCTTCTTGCCAGTCAGAGGGAGCTAACAGAAAAGTCAGCTGCTGATTACTAAGTTGCCTGGAAAGCTCAATCCTGTTTTGGTTCGGCATGGCTGAAGTGAGGTGTATCTGCTGCCATGGCATGCGGCTGTTAATTCCTGTGGTTTGTCTTTGCTCAAGGGGAGTTTGGCACTGAACTGGGTATGGGGTGGAATTCTGGTCCATGGGTGATGGGAAGGTCTTGTTGGGCCCATCCCATGGCTGTGCTACCCTACTGTGGCTTTTGTTATTATTTTTGTCATGAGGTGCTGTGCCCATGTGGATGGTATTGGATGGAGGGCTGCTGTAAGCTTTGTTTGAAAAGTGCATCTGTGAACTTTGACCCTGTGCAATATTTCTGACATGATGGACATTGCCTTGAATAAGAACTCTCTGACTACTGTTTTTTGAGTGGCAGCCTCTTTTGCCCCCTGTAGTAACACCTGCATCCCTAGTGTCAACTGGACAATAAATGTCTGACTTATCAGATAAACCACTCTTATTCTGCTCTGTTTGGTGACTGTTTGATACTGAGCTCTCACCACTGCTGACATCCTCTCCTATGGTCCTTGTGCAATGTACAGATGATGGCATACTATGAGGAGTTTGCACATACTGGGGTGGTTTGGAGTGTAAAGAGTATGGTGGCCTGTCTTCTGACTGTTCGTTATTAAATTGTGTGTTGCTTTGAACAACATCATGCTCCTCCCCAGAAGACTGAAAAGAAAAAGCGTTTTGGGGCACTTGGTTTGAACCCAGAGATGCTTCGATAAAGTCCTGGGACTGTGGGTTCTGATCACAGGGAAACGGTTCTGAGGCTGCGTCATCTAACAATGGATACCCATACTGAAATGACAAAGGAACAAACCCATTTGGTTTGTTCACCTCCATAACGTTGTTAGGTTTTTGTGATGGGACCCCAAAACTACCGTTACTGAAAGTCCTGTCAGGAGACTGCCACATGTCAGCTCCACTCAACTGAAAGTCAGAGAATAGGATTTGGCTGACAGGTTGCGTGTTACTGGTCTCCAATTGACCAGGCTGATGCTGCGGTGCAGTGGGCGGTGGGTGCTGGTGAGCAGGGCCCCCAGCTGCAGAGCCCACTGGTTGTGAGGTATAGCTTGGGGAGGTGAGGTTGGAGGAACCCTCCTGGAAGCAGCGGTTGTAGGTGAGCTCCTCCTGTTGCAGTTCAGCCTCTCGCTCTGGGATACTTGGCACATGAAACCTGTAGCTGCCTGAGACAGGGCCTCGGCTGGCCTCCAGCTTTTTGGGAGGTGAAACCTTCTGCTGTGGATAGGCTATTCCAATTGTAGGATTGGAGCGTGGATTTGTAATACTCAGTCTGTACAGCTGCTGTGGGTTACCACGCTCTCCTTTTCCAGACTTTTTCGCCTTATCCCGATTACGACTCTTCCCATTGGGGGACTGAGGGCTGCCCTTCCCGCTAGGCCATGTTCTGTCACTAGTGAACTTGGAATGATTCTGCAGTGACTTGAAATCAATTTTTCCCGCTTGTTGTGGCCGGATAACAGCCTCACGCTGCTGAGTGTTTTCTCTCTCCTTTTCTACAAACTTAGCACCATTGTTAACAGTCTGTGGCTCCAGACTCACATTCTGAAAGTGCTCAGGGGACCCTTTCAATGCTTTCTCATTGAACTGCTCTCTTGCTGGCCCATTTTCTTGCTGGTTGGACTCTGTATCCAGTTCTTTGCCGGCATATGTCCGTTTAGTCTCTCCTGCCATGGTGCCAGCGTGGCTGGTTCAGTGGGCTGCTCCTTATCTGTGCAGTCTGTGACACAATGACATTGTGCTCTAGTCTGGATCAATGGGCCTCCAGCGACTTAAGCAGAAAGCACAAGATTAATCTCTTCTCTCTGATCTCCTCATTTCTTCCATGAGTCAATGTTCATCTGTCATCATCTTGAAGTCCTGGAAAGAGAGAAAATAAAGAAAATAGATGTTAGAATAGATTATCAGTTCTCACCATAGCCATAGCATGTTGACTCAGAATTATTTGGCATGTGGTGAGAACAGTAAACACGCAATAGTTCATTACCTCATGAACACATGTCTGTACTAAACATGCATAGTATTTGGACATTTGAACAGGAGGTAGGACTGATGAGCTACAAAAATACATGTTGAGACTAAGCAATACCACATCTCACCAGGAGAGAGCAGTATTACATCAGTTTTGCCACAGAGTAAAAAACAAAATGTAATACTGAAGCAAGATTGGTCAAAACTTGCAAGCACACAGACAGACCTGATCGTGAACACGTTGCACAAACCATGCTCATGACCTTAATAATAATTTATACCCCATGAGAACTGTAATTTGAGTTATATATCAGAGAACTATTCTAAGCATTATACAAGTGAAAAAAGAGAATTGCTTCATCTCTACTTACTTGAAATGTAAACTACATGCAATTCAATATTTTACACATCTGTGATTCAACAGAGAAACTGTTTCTAAAACCAAGGCTTACTTCTGTTTGTTGCTCTGTTCCTCTGTCAAACACATTTTCTGTTCGTCAACCATCAGTTTATCAGTGTTGCTGATGACACGATCTTTAGCCTATAATTCTCATATTCAGCAAAAAACCGTATAAAGTGTTTCCCACCTTATGACCTTTAGCCAACTTTAAACGGAGGGACATGGGAAAATTGCCCATTTGTGTGTATACTCCCCTCCTCTGCCATGTTAGACTTGGTACTATATGGTCTCTAGCTTAAAGGGCAAACACTCAGAGAGACTGACAGAACATCTTCCACACAATGAGTGATGGATGTTAAATTACAATTTTGCTTTTTTTCACTCCTTGTGAATCAGTGTGGCAGGTAATACACAAACCTGAATAATGGTAAACAGTTATAATGAGGTGACAGGAATAAATATAAGCCATGACCAATGCCTACACATAAAATAAAGGTTAGGATATAAATCTGAAGTCCCCATTCACTTTCACTCGTGAAGTGCCTTTTCTAGTATATACACTGAGCCACAGACAAAGTTTGGAACCCACAGCCTGAACACGTGATCTCTACTTCACTGTGACATGCATGAACCTTTATACTTAATGGTATGGTACAGGCCCATAATTACACAGAACTGACAATGACTGGGCGTTGTGTGGCTGGGGACACAGTGGGAAAAAGCAGTAAGGACACTTTTATTCTGTTTCACCCTTTTTTCTCTCTCACTTTTCTCTATAAATACATCACAGGGCAGTTAAAAACTGTCACCCTCTGCATTATGCATGATTGACAAGTGCTTTGCATTTAATGAAAAGTATTTTCCATTAAGCTGTTGTCTACTTAATCATTAAAGATCAATTTGGAGGCTGGTTTGATCTTAAACTAATTCCAAAGGGGATTCCTTCAACAGTGTGGTTTATTCCAGTATTTGGCTTAATTTGTGTCTGAGGAAACATTCCCTAATAATACTGTAGTGGCCCTGTCCCTTAAATCTCTCAAAATATTTAATTTGCACTGCGGTGAACAGAGAACCTTTTCTGTTTTATTCATGATCTTTGCACTGAAATCTCACAGGCCTAGGCATGAAAATCAGCAGGTGCTTTCTTTTCATGGAATGGCTTCTTTTATGTGGCCTTGGGGTAGATTACTGAGTTTGATTTTGACACAGTAGTCAATTCCAGGTGCTATCCAGTGTCTTGTTTCAAAATAGGTTAACTATCACATCACTCAATTGAAAGAAAGTGGGCATTTTAGCAAAAGGCTGATTATGCCATTAGTGTATCCGTGTTAGTTGAATATTTCATGGGCAACATGGTGCTACAAAGGGAGTGGCAGAGAGACTGGGACAGAGCTCATACCCTGAGGGATTGAAAAATAGTGCTCGACACAGTGCAGCTGAAGTTCTGAAGCTTGCTGACAGAGATGCCTGGCAAACACATGCCAAGAAAATCAATCTTCATTCTTGAAGCTTAGCAACAGTTGCTATCACCCAAGCAGAGTGATGTTTAGAGATTCATAGAAGATATGCCCACTGAGGCTCACAAAGACAATTTGTCGGTTTATGTGACACACTGAGTGTGCCAACCAGTCCTAAGAAGGGACAGCACCAAATCATTCTGGAGACTATAAAAAACCTCAGAGCTAACTTAATGCCTCCAAATTATATCCATAATCCAAATTACCAAGCTTGAGGCAAAAGTAAAAATGCTATAAATGTTTGTCAAATCCTGATTGGTTCAAGTGAAACATGGCTGAGACCCGGTCTTTTCTATAAGGTAACTAAAAGTAGCCATTCCTATCCTATCTGATCATCTCCATTTTCAAAAGAAGATGAAATCAAGGTAAACACCTCATGTATAGACATGCTTTTGATGACACTGGTTTATGCAACGCATTTTTTCAAATGAATACTCTTGACACGTTCACCTGATAGGATGTATATATTGTATATTGTAGACAAACAAGTTTGCTTCATTAAATGTCTAAAATGATAGAAGATAAGGTGGGTAGTCTCATTTTTGAAGCTTTCAACAACTAAAAGGAAAAAATAACTTCTGCTTATTCTGAAAAGCATGAGCAAGACAAAACTTAGGTTGTAAGTACAAAAGGCCTTTAATCTCAAATGGCTTAAAATATTTCCTGAAATCACCCTAGATTCACATTAAGTTCTTATTCAATGAGCTTATAGCTGATCCAGCATATGACATTGAATTGCTATGAGCATTCTCTTTCAGTAGGAACGAGTAATGGAATGTGCATTTTTCTGGGATTTATGGCCTACTCTCTAGATGTTGAGCAGCTTGCACTCCACTGTGATTTCAGACCTGTTGGTTGGATCAGAAAAGAGTCTTTTATTAAAGCTTCTAGAGGTAAGTGACAAACCTGGAAAGCCAAATCCCTACATACAATTAGGCATTAATCTCTTAAACCCCAAGGACTCATTTGCGTAGATACTTCAGTTTCTCACTCTCAAAACTGCATAACTTACATATTCAAAGTTTCAAAGTAGTTGCAATAATTAATAACATTTACTGAATAATCTTGCTAATAATACTGAATTGTCTTATGATTTATTACTGGCTAATAAGCATAGGGTTCAGGGGAGTTTTAGCTTTATCAGAGACTGAAATCTCACCAGTAAAGCTGCATTATTTCCACACACATGAACAGGCATTGCCACCTAGGACTTTTGATAGCATTTCCCAAGGATCCCTATCTCCAGCACCGTGTCCTCAGTCTGGCTTTGGTATTTAGCATGTTGGTCTGGAGGCTGGGCTGTGCCTGGGTTTGGATCAGCCTGTGAAAAGTCACATCCCCTCTCAATCTCCAGCTGCAGTCAAAGTCGAAGCATCTGCATCTGTGTATCTGTGGGCGAGAGGGGTGCGAGGCACCCAGCAGGAGCTCCTTGGAGAGCAGCGCTCCATCCATCCCCAGGCCATACATCACATCCACTTCTTATTTGCCCAGGCCAGCCGGCCCCTCGGATCAGTAGCGGAGGGAACGCGAGCCATCTCTGACAACAAAGAGAGCAGTGCTGGGATCGCAGGGGCCTACCAGAAGTAGCACCAAATCCACAGCTGTCAGCGCACAAAGAGTACAGGCTCATTTATATCTTCACAACTGTCAGCCTGACTTCCCCAATCCAAATCTATATGCACATGGCTGCCAGCCTTCTGCTCCACCATCTCAGCTCCTTAATGCTGTCATACTATCAAACTGCCACTTTGGTGAGATTGTAGATCTCAATCTTTTTTTCCCCTTTTACTTTTCCTTGAGGCAGATTAAAGTTTATGAGAGTTTGGTTGGAAAATAAAGGGTGCCTGTGACACATTTGATTGCTAAGCATGACTTGATATCAAACTCTATGTGAGTCGTCTTAAATGGTGCCATAAAACAGCATTTTAAGCAGTTTTACAAGTCAATTAAGGCAAGCTTGTGAGTTCCACAGGCCTAGTGTCAAGTCAGCCTGCCCCACACACACTATCATCAGCTCCATATGGCCACACCACATACACCACCCAGACGCTTTTCTGGGTTGATGGGGGGGCTCCTTTTTGAGTATGAGTGTGTGCTGAATCTGAATTGTAAACAAGCTCTGTGTGTGAGTGCAATCTTAAATGTAAATGTTTCTCTCTGCCTTTGTCTCTTTTGTGTGAGTGTGTGTGTGAGTGAGTGTATGTGACTGGGTATGTGTTTAGATGCAGTGAGCCAGCTTTTACTCTTTCTTTTACAAAAAACTAAAGCCAATATGATTTCTTGTAGTGTAAACCCAATTTCCTGAGATCCCCCACCAACACCCTACAATATGCAGGATGTATGTGGTGTAGGCTGAAGTGAAAATGTGCTAGTAGCATTTTTGTTACTCCTGAGCGTCTCTCGTGCCATTTGTCAACGAAGATTAAACTACCATTATTCCTAAGAATCATTTTCTGTGAGCGATTTGTTTATCTAGTGCTGTATATGGCACCCAAGCACTTATTTATCCATTATTCAGGCTTAAATGAATCATAAATTGTCTTTATAACTTCGAGGTGTGAACTCCTGAGACCTGAGAAATGATTTGTTTTTAACTAAAGAAAATGATTTCATTTCTATGTGAATAACCGTGTCAGGCTAAATGCTGATAAATGTGAGCTTAGTTCAGCCCAATAGAGAGACATGTTACTCAAGGGATGTCATTTGCAAAGCATACATAATAAGAGTCCACAAGCATCATCAACTCTCCACTGAGAGAAAAGACCACACACAAGCCAATGAAAGAGAAAAACCGCTAATATGTTAAACTGGGACACTGAAGCAATAAAGCATCCATCTCTAACACCCAAACCCTTCTTCTTTCGCACATGCATGAATGTGCAATCACACGTACGCTAATGTGCACATGCAGGCATATGTATTTTTCATTGGGTACAGGATGTGCTACTAGAGCCACAGTGACGTATCTGGCA